ACTCTCTCTCTCTCTCTCTCTCTCTCTCTCTTTCTCGATCGGTCGACGCGGGTGATGCATAGCGGTTGGACAGGCTGAAATTATTTTCCGTCCGCCGCGGGGATAATTATATTCCGACCGCGAGGATCTCTCACGGCCGCGTTCGAGCGAGGATAACGTTGATCGAGATAAATCGATCCTGGGAAAGGGATCGAGTCGAATACGAATTGGCGCGGATTCGCATTAACTGGAACGTTCGCTCGATGACTTTATCTTCGAGAAATTCGAAAAATCGCCGACCGAATCTTTTGGATCACTTCAACGTACGATTATTAGGAGCGTGCCTGCTCCTAATAATACGTCGTAATACAAAGTTTCGCTGGAAAAATTTGCTAAAGAGAATTTGAAGAAATTGTTGATTCAACTGGGAACGACGAAGCTCGAGAAACGGAGGAGGCATTCGTTCGTGAATCGAAACGACAAACTGTTTTCTTCCATTCGACTTCCATTAGATATTTAACCGTGGAAACATGGTGTAGAATCCATCGTTGAAATTTTGATACAGAACGGTGGATAAAAAATTCTTGGACACCGTCCAACGTGCTCTCGCCTTCTCCTCGCTCATTCTATATTCCCCAATTTATCCCGCATCCGCTATTTATTTCTCTCGCCAGCCGTAAGATGTCGATTCTTGGCTTCTCCTATTCTTCCAAAGTCAAGAAAGGCCGTCAAATCTTGGAGAGATAAATCCACGATCGAAATTTATCTCGCTTGCTCGAAAAACGGAATACCCGTGGAAACGACGACGCGGAGCAAATAATTCCTCGAATAATTCCTCCTCGAGAACGGGAGAATAGACTGGCGAAATGTTTGGCTGTCGCACGTTTTGTCAACCCTCGTTACACTACTACTCGTTCCAAGCGAGCAAATGGTGGTCGAGGCGCGCGAATCGCGTCGTTTGTTCCGCGAGCGAAAATACTCGACGATTTTCGCGGCGAGCGTCGGCCTCGACGAACACGGGGAATTTCTTCCGGATGAGGGATGCTCGGCCGCGCTTGCGCGCGAGTTATGCCCTTGTCTACGATATTAATGGACGCCGTTACGAAGGAGAAGCGATTCGCGGTAGACGAGGACGGAGCGCAACGTCTTCGCGTGTAGTATTAGTTCTGAAACCGCGGAGAATACTTCACCCAGACTTGGAGAATTGGTTGTTTCAACGCCGAGCAGTTCGACATTCGCCTCTCCTCCTCCTCCTCCTCCTCCTCGCCTTGGAGTGTGCTCGAGCACTCGTGCAACGTACACTGTACAACGTACTCGAGGCCGAGTGCTTCTCGTCAGTTTCTCACTTTCTCGGCCGGCACGGCATATTTGGTAAGACGATACCCCCTGTTCCGGATTAACGATACTCCCCCTCTTAAAGGAGTATTTCGTCCCGTTGTTTAACTTGTCACCCGCCTCGCTCGACCCTTTGCAGGGTTAAGCGTGTGTCGAGGGTGTATTCTTTTCTTTTTTTTTTTTTGGCTAGTTAACCCTTCTGCTGCTCATTTCAAAAAGGGACGTTCGTGTTTGTCCACAGCGGAGAGATTATAGGTTAGACGGAATATTTAATCGATGTTTAATCGATGTCTATTCGTCGGATCGGAAAGATTGTATATCGAGATGAAGTGAAATGGAACGATGACTACTTCGTTACACTTTGGTCTGTCCACGATATGACTGTACCTTTGTCACTGTTCTCAGCCAATAATAGCGTAATCGTGTAACGATAAAGCGTACGTATTTCGCCATCTTTGGACGAATAGTTTTCGATACCAATTCCAGCATTCTTTTCCACATATTCCAAACATAAAAAGGTATCTATCGCACGTAACTTTGATTGACGATTCAACGAAACGAATTATCAATATTACTCGAAAGTAACTCTTTAGATAGATTTTTCTTATGGAGAATTTTTCAAGGAAATCTGAACGAGTGGCTTACGTGTGATTACGATCGCAATTTTCACGCTGTCCCTGGCAAAGTGACGAGTAACGACTTGGACGCGGCGCGCGAGGAAAATCACGCGCAACCCCCCCGGAATCAGTTTCGCGCGAGCGAGTTATGCAAATGAGAGAAGGCTCGTGTTTTCTCCTTTAAGATAAGGGGAGAAGAGAAGAAGAGGAAAAGAAGGAAAGTTGGATGGCCGTTACGCGGATTTTGTTTTACTTTAACGCGCTGGCCGTTCGATGGCGAATCGATGACCGCCCGACTTGTTAACTTTAATTAAACCCCTCGCGGCAAATATGCTAATAGAGGCGCGCCACGTTGGCGGACACTCCGTCTAAAGACGTCTAATTTAATATTTGTAATTCGTTTACACGCTCTATTTGTTTCGCCACGCACAGTTGGATACACGGAAGAAGAGAAAGAGAGAGAGAGAGACTCGTTAGACGAGTCTGCGAGTCAGCTTCTCCTCGGTGTACATCTCGGTCGATACGCACGGATCGTTAGCGATTGTTCTTACTGCGAGATGGTGCGCGCGATATCCTCTTAGTACGATGTATCTCGTGCAGCACGAGATCGCCCATTGTTTACATCTTACGTTACGGCGCATAGTTTGCCGAGAGGTATGCTTTTCAGAGGTATGCTCGCTTCTTTACCCTTGTATAACATAATTACCGTGTATACGTTGATGCGGAAAGGAACGAGCATTATATTTCGTATCCACCTTTTCGTATCCGGAAGCAACGGTTATATAACGGAGCTTGAAATTGAACATCTCGAGAAATTGGGGGAAATGGTAATACGATTTTTGCGGATTTTTCTGATTTTAAAAGAGGAGAGGAGGAAAGTACCGTTTTATCGATATAAAGAAAATTTTCCAAGGATAAATACAAATGCCGAGAGTTGATAATTAAAATAGATACGATTTTACGTTACGTTTCCGATAAAAATTTGTCTCCCTTCGAAATAACGAAGAAACCCTTTCGATTCGAAGGAATTTTAAAAAATTATTCTCCTTCCGAAAACAAGAAAGGGAAAGAGAGAAAGAGAAAAAAGCAAAGAATCGTAATTGTAATTGATAACAGCCGTCGAAGCGTTAAAAGGCGTTGAACGGCGCTGCCATGCAACCCCTTGGTTATAAAAATGACGGGGAGGGAGGGGAGTGTGCTCGAAGCGAAGGGAAGCGAATTAAAGTCAATGTCACGGTCTGTTACAGCTAAATGATCCGATATAAGTCCAAGTTCGAAGTTGCTCGCGCCAATGTAAACGCGCCCTCGCCCCCTGTTTCATTCCCCCCTTCGAGGAAACTTTGGTCCCGGCATAATTCTGTGCCGGCGATGTCCTCGCAAAAGTACCCACCACCACCACCACCACCACCACTACTACTACTAATTAATCCTTTTAACAGCGCTTAAATTTAATTAATCCGAAAGTTATGTGGTCGATCCCGACTCCTTCGCTCGCTGACCCCCGCTTTTTGTCCTCGCCGCTCGATTTCAGAGGGCGGTAGGTGGTCGCGGGGAAAACCGTGCGCGCGTTCATCGAGCTTTGAAAATCCGTCCCTTTCTTCTTCCTTTCTTTTTCCTCTTCGATTTTCTTCTTCGATCCTCGTGCCCTTGACTACGCGTTATCGTCCCGGGCAAGCCTGTCTCTTACCGGATTGCTAATTCCTCGGCTGACGTTTGCAAAATTGTACGGTGAGCCAAGAAAGAATTGGCTCTCCCCCACGAAACAATTACGAAGTAATAAGCGGGAAATTCCTTCTTCTACTCTTACTTTCCCTCCCTTTCTCTTTCTTTTTATACACGCGTATATATCCACAAAGAGAAGCACGAGGATTCCAAGGATTCTTGGAAGGCAGGTGATCCGATTATCCCGCAAAGTGTACAAATTGAAAGGGTGAGAGAGGGTGAAGTTCCAAGCGTCGAGAATAACGAATCTCGTGGAAGAGAAAAAAAAGTTTTCCATCCTATATTAACCCTTTCGGCCGATGGAAAAACAACATTTGCGCATTTGGTGGCGGCCGATTAACGCGCGTGTACCTTGCGGTCTACGATCATAGCCATAGAAGGAAATTTACGATCCCCGTGCACACACCTTGCTCGAGCGGAGTATAGAGCCCCCCTCCCCACCCGCGCATTATCGACGTTGGCCCCCGCCGAGTTTCGCCGTGGCTGAGAGAAGGTTGCACGAGCCGATAGGGGATAATCAATCTCGAAACACGGAACGTTCCCCCCGGAGAACGGATGGAGAAAGTAAGGGGAGGGGGAGGGGTGTGGGCGGCTACTACGCGTGTTTGCATTTGCGTGCTAATTTGCCCTAACCTAATGAGAGACCGGCTTGTGCAAACTCCTGTTCCTCCTCTTCCTCTCCGGTTCACCCTCTCTTGCGCCGCGTGGACGAGGATGGGTGGGTGGATGGTTGGTTGGTCGGTTGGCTGGCTGGCCAACGGGCATAAGCGTGTTGAAAAATTGGATCGCGAAACTTTGGGTATAGCATAGGGGCGCGCTTTTGTTTGCCGTGCGGCGATCTTTAATGAAACTAGTCGGCACGGTGGATTATTTGCCGAGCCGGCCGTGTAATTATGCCTGATTAGCGATGCCACCCGTAATTGGTTAAGGGGAGGGGGGGGGGGAATTTCAACGGGAATAAGGGAATTTCGCCGTCGGTGTATTCGTTAACGGTGTATATCCGTTAATTGTTAATCGATTCGAAGAAAGTTTGGGGGAGAAGTTGGGGTCGAGTTTTTTTCGGGGGAAGAAATTAGTTAGATTTTTAATAATAGAATAAAATCGAGATGAATTTAATCCTTAATCGAAACCACTTGTGTGTATTTGTTTATTTATTTCGATTCTCGCGTTGTGAAATAGGGTCGAATCGAACGTCGTTTGTATTTTCGAACGGTAAATTTATCGGTTTATCGATCAAAGGGACGGTGCATTTCTGTGAAGTGTGTTTCTTAAGAATACCGTATTCATCTAGGAAATGTTTACAAAGGTTTGTCGTCTTCCTTCCCTGTGTATTTTTCTTATCGAATAAAGGTACACGCCGACGTTCGAGTGGAAAAATATGCAAAATCTTGCTGAAAGAAGGCATCTTTCCTTCTAGGTAGCATCTGTATGGAACCGTCGTTTCTCCTCTCTTCCGAGAACCGTCCTTCCATTAATTACCTCTTGAAACCTGGCGAAATCTTCCCTCCCCCCCTCCCCTCCCCTCCTTTATTTAATATTTTTGTTTGCGCGTTAAATATTTCCCTAAAACAGTTAGGGTAAGCAAGCAGAATTAAACGAAATAAGTATTTCTCCAATTTTTATTTTATTTTACTTATCCTTTATTCTTGAAAATATCGTTGCATTCTGGAAAGAAGAAAGGAAAAAACGAATTTAACTTTTTAAATATTTACATTACGTCACAAATTCACGATTCATCTTTCTCTCCAACTCCATCGAAAATTAAAAACGTCACACATTTTCCTATTTCTTTGAAAAAAAAAAAACCCACTTTTCCTTCGAAACTATTCATATTTTGCGTATTTACTTTGCAAAAATTTTCCATCCCTCCTTGAAACCATTCAAAATCAACAAATAAAATTTCGTAAATCAACGCGATCTCAACGACGACGAGAGAAGAAAAGAGAAGCGCGATCTCTCCCTTCTCTCTCTCTCTCTCTCTCTCTCTCGTCGAGGACGAAAAGTGGAACGAAATCGTGGAGGATACACCTTACCTTGGACGTAATTGCGTTGCCGGGTAGGGCGAGGATCGATCCCTGCAAGGCAAATGTTGGCGCAACAATTAAACCGGCGAAAGAAGGAAGAAGGACAAAAGGAAGAAGGGAGGCGAAGGTGGCACGGCCTCGCCTCGTTGAATGCGACTGCGCTGCTCCCATAGACGCGACGCGTCATTATGCGGGAGGACGAATGAATCGCGACAAAAGGGGTGGAGGGGAGGAAACCGGCAAATGTTTTCGAGTAGTCCCACTTCCACGGGGTTCCATTGTTATTTAACGCGGGCACATTGAGGATGAGCGCCGGAAAGACGTGGCTGGCACGGAGAAAGAGAAGAGAAGAGAGAGAGAGAGAGAGAACTCGTGTAAAATACGATCCTCTTGGACCACGCCACGCGTAAGAGTGCTTGATATTCAACGCGTGTTTCTAACGCGGCGTTATCACCCAACCCCCTTTCCTTTCCCTTTCTCGATTCTCGATCTCGAAACTCGGATCTCGATTCCAGCTAATTTTCCATTAATCCTCCCATTCGATAAATGGAATATCGATCGAAACCACGTTTTCCACGTGGAAATTTGTTATATCGAAATCTTCTCTATCGCGTAAATCGTCTCTCCGCGATTCCACGTTTAAACGTTTCCACGTTTGTTTCGCGTGCTTAACGCATCGCTAGTTCTTCCCTCGTTTTTATTTTTTCACTCGGGGGCATGAATCCTTCAAATACCGACGATCAAAAGTTCGCAGAGTGTGTAAAAAAAAAAAAAAAGAAGAAGAAGATAAATAGAAGAGAGAAAGGAGAGAAGAACGGTAATAAACGGCGAAAAATAAACGATCGGAACACAAAAGGTTGCGTTTGAAAGGCAAGGTTTCTGGTTTAAATTTTGGGAAATTTGGCCGGGAAGAGAAAGGAGATGGGCATTTTTTCTCTCCGATGAAAAATGCCGCGTACGCAGTCGATACACCGCCGGTCGGGGCGATGCCCTGTAATGTTTCATCGGTCGGCTTAGCGTGGGATTACCATTATGTTTCCCGGATTACACGTAGCGTCGAAAATACCGCCAATGCGGAACACGCTTTTTCTTCTTTTTTTTTTTTTTTTTTACTTTATCGGGATAAAAGCGTACGGCCGATTTTTATTTTTAATATACGCACGCATCGGAGGACGCGCGAAGACGCATGGTTTTTGTTTAAAATTTGCACAGAGAAGGGTATGACGCATCGTCGAATATTGGAAACTTGATGCGTAAATGAAAATTGGTCGAGGCCGCGAACGATAAACTACCATTTCATTTGCGGAACGGCGATCGAGCACATACGGGATTGGATATTCCCAAGCGTCGTTCTCATCATCATCGCGCGTAATTCGAGCGTACGGTTACACCGTTCTCGGTGTTCGAATGTGAAAATGATTCGATGGGGGTAAAAGACAGTGGAGGGAAGGGGAAAGGGGACAGATGCAATTTTAAGAGACGAAGGTAAAAAGATAAATCAAAGTCCGAAAGTCCCCGGGTTCTACGGTACGACGGTACTCGTGTATCGTTCGCTTATCATTTACTGCCTATAAACTTTGAAAAATGGTATTCTCGCGATTCGAGTATAGTCTGGTATAATAATAAAACAAGAAGGAGAAAAGTAGGAGAGTAGAGCTTATACGTTGCTCTCTACGCCGCTTCGTACTCTACGCCTCTTTTATGATGATATAAAAATATTATTAAAAAAACACGATGGGGAAGGAGAGGGAAATATTGCAAAGGAGATGGGGAAGACGGGAACTAAGAAAAATCAATTAACCGTGTACCGGCGGCGGAAAAACACGGCTGATATATAATATAATTATCCGCGTAAAAATAAGTTTACCATGACATTGAACGATTTCATCGATACTTAACGACTTAAACGATAACAAAGGGTTTGATAAAAGAGAGAGAGAGAGAGAGAGAACAAAGCGATTGGATAAAAGATTAATCGTTTACGTTACTCCCCGTTCCACGCAACTTTTTTCCTCTCTAAGGAAAATTCACCCCGTAAAATTTATCTTAACGGAGTCGGGAGAGAGAGATATATCTCGTATAAATTCCCGATAAACCGACGATAGTGCACCTGCTATCGTCTCGCAAAGACACCTAAGTTTACCATTCGCGACGTGTCACGAAGTTGGTCGCCAAGTTTTCGAAGAAAATTTGACCGAAGATAGCGAAAAAAAAAGAAGAAGAAAAAAGCAAAAGAAGTACGCTCGATTCGATGCGTGTCGGGCAAGAACGCGGGAGGAACCCACTCTCTCTCTCTCTCTCTCTCTCCGCCTAAGTGTTCCCAACGAACCCGGCTCAATGTTCCTCCTCCGTCAGAGCTCCGGATCCGCTACGTGCCTCTGAATAACTCGCGGTCATTAGCACAGCTCCCTTTTTACGCGGAGTGGCCCAGCCGCCCCCCGCGCAACACCCCTCACGAAATACCACTCGTGCCCCCTTTCAACCCCTCGACCTCTTCTCTCTTCTCTCTCCAGTCCCGGTGGTAGGAGTAA